TGACCCTCCAAAATGAAGCAGGCGAATGGGTTGATGATCCCGAGGCAATAAAAAACATAGCTACTGATTTTTTTATTAACCTCTTCAAAGAAGATAGTCAAAGCTCTCGCTCAATTACTTACGGCACAACGTACCCACAGCTTGACTCTTCCCTGATTACGGATATGGGCAAGGAGGTCACCGATGAAGAAATTAAAGCCGCCGTATTTGATATGGGGGCTCTGAAATCTCCTGGACCTGATGGCCTCAATGCTCTCTTTTTCCAACACCAATGGAATACTTTGTGGCCTACTGTTGTCAAAACCATTAAAGATTGCTTTGCTGACCCTACCATTATTCAGACATTGAATCATACCTTCATTGTTCTTATTCCTAAAAGGGAGTACCCGGAGACCATTCGGGATTTTCGCCCTATCAGCTTATGCAATGTTATTTATAAGATTATTACAAAAACCATTGCTAACCGCTTGAAATGCTGTTTGTCTCAGGTCATCTCTCCCAACCAGTGTAGCTTCGTTCCGGGGCGAAATAGTTCTGACAACATTATTGTGGCACAGGAAGTGATTCACTCAATGAAAAATATGAAAGGGAAAAAGGGCTTCATGGCCATTAAAATTGATCTCGAAAAAGCCTACGATAGAACCCGATGGGACTTTGTCATGAGATGCCTCCATGAAATGGGCATCCCCGCCGAATTGCGTGAGGTGATCCAAGCCTGTATATCTTCACCGTCCATGCAACTCCTGTGGGAGGGTAGTAGAGCGAAGAAATTTTGGCCTTCACGGGGCTTAAGACAAGGAGATCCTATTTCCCCATATCTCTTTGTTATTTGTATGGAGAAGCTGGCACACTTTATCCAGGAAGATGTGCTTTCGAGAAAATGGAAACCTATAAAACTAGGTAAGAATGGCCCCCCCATTTCACATTTATTTTTTGCTGATGATTTAATGCTTTTTGCAGAGGCGACTATGGAACAAGTCGAAGTCATAAAGCACTGCTTAGAAGCTTTCTGCTCCATCTCTGGACAGCGAGTGAATGCCAGTAAGACCAAAGTCTTCTTCTCAGCAAACATAAATCATACTCGATCCTCACAAATGAGTGCGGCCCTTGGCTTCTCAAGCACAATGAACCTGGGAAAATACCTAGGGGTTCCCTTGCATCACGAGCGGGTTAAATCAGATACCTACCACTTCCTGCTAGACAAGATTCGAAGCAGACTCAACAATTGGAAGGTATCCAGAACCTCCTTAGCGGGACGCGACACTTTGATTAAGTCAGTCATCTCAGCCATTCCTTCCTACACAATGCAAACAGTGAACTTGCCGACCTCAGTATGCGAGAAGATCGAACAGCACTCAAGAAATTTTTTATGGGGCTCCTCGGACGAAAAACGACGCATGCATCTCCTCTCTTGGGACAAAGTTTGCAACGAGAAGAGACTAGGAGGGTTAGGCATGAAGCACATCCGACAACAAAACAAAGCCTTTATGATGAAACTTGGTTGGGGTTTGGTGAATGACCGAAAGTCTCTCTGGGCCAAAGCTGTTAGAGCAAAATATGGGTGTGGTGATGACCTTCTGCCTAGGATAAATACGAAGAAGCGCGGGTCGAATACTTGGAGTGGTATTAAACAGGTATGGAATGAAGTTAAGGAGGGTATACACGTCATAAATGACCATCACGGTGTGGAAAGAGCTCGATGGAAATGGGAAAAAAGTGGCGAGTTCTCCGTTCGCTCCGCATATCGAAGCCTCAATGCCAATGATAACATTCCTGCTGGTAATTGGAAGGATTTGTGGAAACTCAACATCCCACAACGATGCAAAACATTTGCCTGGCTGATGCTGCATGAAAGGCTCCTCACGAATGAAGTAAAACACAAACGAGGTCTACATGATAACGGAGCTTGTATCCGATGCAAGAACCACTTGGAAGATGTGCTCCACGCCCTCAGAGATTGCCCAAAAATTAGAACGTTGTGGGAATCAGTGATTGAACAGAAATTTCAGCAACGCTTCTTCACTTCATCCATGCAAGACTGGGTCCAACTCAACCTGAAGCGCAACTTGAACGGAGGCAAGGGTTACTGGAAAGGTTTGTTCATCATTATCTGTTGGTTGATCTGGCGAAACCGAAATGAACTCCAGCATGCAAACAGCATTGCCGAAACAGATAAAATCTTGAACCATGCATGTGCGATCTTAGACTGTATCAACAAGACTTCTCACAAGCTCAGTAACGTCAACCTGGACAAGAACCAGCGACCTCTTACCACAGCCTCTACTCCGGGCACGGAAAGTAGTACTGTCATAGAAGTGGATGGCGCTTTCTCCCACGCGAGCAACGCTGTAGCTTGCGGAGGTGTTCTAATGGACTATAATAGAAACATCTATGAAGGATTCATGTCTCGCTTACAAGCAGGCGACAATCTCACTGCGGAACTCTGGGGCTGCCTCCTTGGTATGAAACGGGCATGGGACTATGGCTTCAGAGACGTGATACTCAAGACAGACTCGTATGATGTCTTCCAGCTACTGAACAACGCTACGCCAGAGCTGCATGAGGACTGGTCTCTCATTGAGGAGATAAAAGGGATGATTGCACGAAGCTGGAGGTTCGACTGCCAGCTTATTGCTAGAGATGATAACCTTATGGCAGACGCTCTAGCAAAGAAAGCCCTGAATGATAACCCAGGTTTCCTTATCCTGGGCCCCGACACTGTTCGTAACTTCCTGGACCTTGAAGGAATAGGATAGTCCTACTGTTTTTCTGTGTTGCTTTTGATTTCCCTTGTATCAAAAAAAAGTGTATTCTTATTTTAATATCTCAGTATTTCCAAGCTCGTTTTCCTTTCTTTAATTTTGCAGCATTTTATTTCTAAATTTGTTTCAAGCTGCTTCCTCATAGCCTAATTTTGTATGCAAATTCCCTGCACTTAACGTGTGACACAATACCTAAAAAGAAAAGATTTTGGTTTTTTTTTTTTGGGAAAAGTCAGGAAAAGCCTCTCATTAGAATTCTTATTAGTAAAAACGAGTTACTAAATTTTTATATATAAAAAATATCAGCCCTTAGAAGAAATTATACAACCAGGATTTCTTTTTGCCAACTAATTTAAGTCTTCCTAATTAATAAAATTTTTAATAAGAAACTTTTTCTTAATTTTTTTTTCTTTTTTGCGTATTTGGAGATAAAGAAGTTTTGCTGATAATCATTTAAGGCTAAAACTGTTGTAATAAGAATAGGACAGGTTGTTGTTGATAAATGTCAATGATGCAAACACTCATGATACCTTAGATTAAAAAAAAATGAATTGTTTGAATACGTTTTGAAAAATAAGTTTAGTTTTTTTATTTTTTTTATCAAAGTTCAATAAAATTTAAATAATTCATTTTGATGTGTAATACATAGATTAAAGGGATAATTAATCTGCAAGTCCTTATAGTTTCAACCAATTTTGAATCAGGTCCCTATAATTTTTTTTCTTTTTATCAGATCCTTATACTTTCACCTGTTTTTAATTAGGTCCTTGCATTTATTTTTCTTTTTATCAAGTCCTTATAAGATCACCTTATTTTTAAGTAAGTCCCTGAATTTTTTATTCTTTATTTTATAAATTCTAATAGTACTATTTTATAAACATAAAATAGTATATATTATGTAATATTAGTTTATAAACAATAATATTCTAAAAATAATGAATTATTATAATAATTTTATTTTTTTAGCAAAAAAATTAATTGTTTTAAAAAATTTCCTTAATTAATTAATTATATTACTTATCTTTTATTATATAATTATTAATATTTTATATTTCAGTACTAATTTATTTAATTAAGTTCATATTTAATTAATAAATAAAAATTAAAACTAGATGGACCTAATTAAAATTTTAGTGAAATTATAAGGACTTAATAAAAAGAAAAATAAATGCGAAGACCTAATTAAAAATAGATGAAAGTATAAGGACCTGATAAAAAGAAAAAAAACTATAAAGACCTAATTCAAAATTGGTTAAAACTATAAGGACTTCCAGATTAATTAACCCTAGATTAAAAATGATTATCCCCAACTCATTTTGAAAATATATACAAGATCCAATCTAATAAAAACGAAGTGTGTGCTCTTTTGCCTACCTTGTCTCACCACCGCCCCGTTGCATAACTTTTGACTTTTGAGAATCTCCATTTCTTGATCCTATATTTGCTAATAATCTTAAAATATTATAAAGAATACTAATAAATTCTTTTTTTTTCCGTGAAGTAATTAATTTGATAGGCCATATGTCCTAGTTCTTCTTAGACACTAGATACTTTCTTTTTAAAAATCTGATCTTCCCCCATTCAATCCAATGACTAGTAAAGTAGTAAGATGTAAATATATACAGTATGTGTATGGGCATTTTGAGTTCAAATCTTCGTGATGTTTAAAAATATATGTATATATATATATATTTTCCCGTTGGATGATGGGGTAGATAATATATAACTTAGATGTTTGTGGAATACTCTAATATTTACACCATTATGAATGCGCATAAATTATTGAGAAAATTACACCGAGCCCCATAAACATGTGAAGTCAATTTAAAAGACTGTTGAGTTCAAAAGCAGTCTCACCAGTCATAATTAACTTATAAATAATCTGCTTACTGTTGTTTTAGTTGTTATTTTACTAATTTTATTACTCCTCCCGATGTAAATGTAAGAGTTGGTTATAGATAGAGTTGGGTTTGATTCCAAACATAAGACTTTAGTCCATTTTATTTTTTATAGTTGTCATTTTTTTTGTCCAACTTATATAAGTGGATATGTAATCTAATATTATATACCGGTATTTTAAGAAGATCATGTCAATTTAGTTAGAATATTGAATAATTTATGGTTAATTTTCTTAATCTATCAAATTAGTTAAGTAACTCTTGCATCAAGTAACAAAGAATAATTGAAATTTTAATTAACATTGTGTTATACATAATAAATGCGTTATACATGGAGCAGTCATACTTGCCATCAGAAACACCAAGTGGATTGAAGAGTCTGAGAGAAGGGGAGCTTGTGGCTCTAAGAGGGAATGGAGAAGGAGAACGCAAAAAGACCGAGAGAATATATGATTATGATGTCTACAACGATCTTGGTGACCCTGACACTAATATCAAACTCAAAAGGCCTGTTCTTGGTGGCAAACAACATCCTTATCCTAGACGATGTCGTACGGGTCGAAAGCTCTCCCATGCTGGTACCAAACAGCATCTTTGTCATAAAATAGTATATTTAAACTTTAATGATTTAAATTTAGGGTAAATTATACTAAATACCTCTAAATTTTATATAATATGTAAATAATCTCCCTAACACTTGAAACTTCATAATAAACTTGAACTTTTTTATTTATGTAGATAATTTTAATACTATTAATTTTGTTCATTATTTATCTGTTACTAACTTAAAGTTTGAGGGAATTATTTGCATCTCAAAATTTGAGGGGGGTTATTTGCATACAAAAATAAAATTCCAATGGTACTACCTATAGTCCTTAATATAAAATCGATCTAATTAATTTAGATGAATTAAAGAAAATAGTTAAATTAATTATTTGTCAAAAATATATGTTGGTTTTCGTGTAATACGCTCCTAAATCATTTGATTGAAACCACCTTTTGATACAAACGCCCTTAACATATACAATCAATAGGATTAATTTAGATAAATAAAAAAAAAAGATGGATTGAATCTTATATTTGGAACAAATTTAATTTTAAATTAATTCTTATATTAAAAATTAGAGATAGTTTAAAACTACTAGTTTGAGATTATTTATGTGTAACTGAAAGTTTACAGGAGTTGATTATTAAAGTATTGAAAGTTAATGAAGTTATTTGCATATTGTTCTAAGTTCACGGAAGTTTTATATACTTTCACCTTAAAATTATTGTTATTTATTTCCTGAATTTTTATCATCTCAGCTAAAATATTCCCAAATTTAAGTCTTTTTCAAATACCCCATATTAAGATTATGCATGCAATTAAATGCGCAACACAACTGAGTCAAAGATGCCGACATTGTTTTATGCCTCTCACTGATTTTAACTCCAATAAATGGAAAAGAGCATTTGAAAACCGACAAATCCTTATTCTTTCTCCAGTACTATTCTCCTCCACAACACCGATTGTGGTCTAAAACTTAATCTGTTGGCTATACAGATCCCTTGTCAGAGAAGAGGAGTATAAGTATGTATGTTCCTAGGGATGAAGTATTTGGAGAGACAAAGCAAACGCAGTTCACAGCAACGACAGCTTCATCAGGATTGAAAGCAATCTTACAATCCTTAAACTCAGTGGCGGCCAATAAAAATCTTGTATTCTCAAGCTTCGAAGACATAAACATGCTCTTCAAAGATGGCTTCTCTGTTCCACAGCTTAAGAACGATGGATTGCTTCAGAGAATCATTCCCACTCTCATCAAGGCTGCTTCTGACAGCGACCAAATCCTGCGCTTTGACACACCTGAAACTGTTAAAAGTAAGTATGTGCAAATGCCTCAAATTAAAGACAATACTCAAAATTAAATTCATAATGTGTCTGATATTAGTTTCTCTAGTAAAAACACAAGACATAAATGTTTGTGTAAGAGAAATTCAATCACAAATGTCCAATTTGACAACATTTAAACCAATATGGCCATTGAGCATAGATTTTGATATGATTGTGATTTGTGAGTTTTGGAAATGCAGGGGATAGCTTCTTTTGGTTTTCAGATGAGGAATTTGCAAGGGAGACTCTGGCTGGTGTCAATCCATACAGCATAGAGCTAGTTAAGGTATATATAGCCTGGTTGTTGGAATTTGGAAATATTTTGCTCGTTATGCTATACTGATATTTCTTTTTAGATTTGAATTGTTTATTTGAATTTCATATTTCCCTTATAGTATTTATATGTGTGTGCATATACATCTTTCGTACATGTATCTTAAAATATTACAACTTGATGTGTCCAATATATTGTATTGTATATGATAAGCAAATAAGAATAAGTGCAACATAGCTTATTATTTTTTTCACAATTGCATATGCTAAATATATATTTTGGTTTATTAATTCATCATGTAGGAATGGCCATTGAGAAGTAAACTAGACCCACAAATCTACGGTCCTGCAGAATCAGCAATCACCAGAGAAGTGATTGAGCAACAGATTAATGGCAACAAGACAGTTGAAGAGGTAAATACTAAGGCAAACAAGATCTAAAGCATTATTGGCGTCATAGAGAACCTAGAACATTCATGATGAAACTGTCTAACAACTAAAAACACGCAGGCCATAGCAGAGAAGAAGTTATTCATCTTAGACTATCATGATTTATTGCTTCCATATGTGGGGAAAGTGAGAGAGATTGAGGGCACAACACTGTATGGATCAAGGACACTTTTCTTTCTCACCACACGAGGCACCCTGAAGCCACTAGCTATTGAACTGACTAGACCACCTCTAAATGGGAAGCCACAGTGGAAGCAAGTTTTCACACCTAATGGTCATTCAACCTCTCTTTGGCTTTGGAGGTTGGCCAAAGCTCACGTTCTTGCTCATGATTCTGGTTACCATGAACTTGTAAGCCACTGGTAAGTACCATCATCATACTATCCTTTTACGCAATACAGTTACGAATTTTCACAAAAGTGAATCTTCCAAAGCATTAGATTGGGGACCAAGTGTGGGTTTCACCTTTGTGGGATTCACAATGCAGAGGTGGGACCCACTCATCCCACCCGATTTTTCTACTTTACCCTCTTAAGTACTTCAGGGGTCTAGGTCCAATAAAAAATTGATGGATGGGGTATGCTAAATCTTTACCATACCCACGTCCCAAAAAAAAAAAAAAAAAATCTTTACCATGCACAAGATAGTTGACCATACAATTTGATTGATTCTTCTGAGTCATTAACATGTTGCATTTGTGTATTTTTTAGGTTAAGAACTCATTGTGCTGTAGAACCCTTTATAATTGCAACCCACAGACAATTGAGTGCCATGCATCCGATCTACAGATTGTTGCATGCTCATTTGAGATACACAATGGAAATCAATGCCCTTGCCCGTAAAGTGCTTATCAGTGCAAGTGGAATCATTGAGATCTCTTTCTCTCCGAGAAAATATTCCATGGAGCTTAGCTCTGTGGCTTATGACCAGCTTTGGCGGTTTGATTTGCAGGGTCTCCCCAATGATCTTATTCACAGGTACAGAGTCCATGATCTGTTTCTTTAATTTACTGCACATAAAACCAATAAGATCCTTATTTCATAAGTTCAGTTTTTTGTTTTTTGTTTTTTTCTTGGGCCAACTATTTCATAAGCTCAGTTACATTCTTGTTAAACCACATTATTCATCTCTTTTCTAACTATAGGTTAGGTTTTGTTTGGTTTATCTCTCTCTCTCCCCCTCCCTCTTCTCCTGAATTAGACAATTTAAACAGAACCAAACCCCACAGCCACGTAGGGCTTTCCTTATCAAGGAACTTTCAACCTCACTCTTTTGAAGGAGGTGCATGGCATTGATCTTAGGGATGTATTTACATCCCGAAATTGAGCCCAATTAGTCAAGGACAAATGCCATGTTTTACTACTGATTCAACAAACCCATTCGAAATGTCCATGAATTATTTGAATGACATAATTTAACATATTTTTATTTGGATTAATATAACTTTTGGTCTCTGAAATTTGGACAAATTTTGGTTTGGTCCCTCAAATTTCAAACATGTAGTTTTAGTCCCTGAAATTAAGTTTGTCTTGAAATTTCAGTTCCTGAAGGAGCAACAGTGTTAAAATCTGCTAAAATCTTATCAATGACATTAAAAGTGGTGATGTGAACTCTCCAGATGACACCTAACTATATCTAATGTGAATAACACAGTGCAGTACAGTGAACAACTCCTAAAAATGAATAGTGAGGAAGAAAAAACAAAAGGCTAAAGAGTTGTGTTTTGAGGATTTATTCTATTTTTCCTTTCTATTATTCACACAAGATCCAACTAGGTATCATCTGATGAATCTACATAATCACTTTAATGCTATTTATGATACTTTACTATATTTTAACACTGTTACACTTTTGGGGACTAATGTTTTAAGATGAACTAAATTTTAGTGACTAAAACCATGAGTTTGAAATTTGAGAGACTAAAACCAAAATAAACCCAAATTTTAGAGACCAAAAATTATATTAACTCTTTTTATTTAATTGAGATTTTGGAAAGATTCTGTTTAAGATCTAAAGAATACATGGCATACAGACTTGCTATCTTGAAAAAGACCAAGAAGAAAAGAGAGAAGTTTCCTTCAAACGTTGAGACATTTGCAAATATTCTACAAATTCTTAAAACTATAAAATAATTCCATAACTGAAAATTACATGCTTCTTTCTTAATTTTATCAACTCAATAATCATGTTATATTTACTTACAGCTGAATCAGATTTTCATTTTACTTAGAACTAAAAATACAAGCCCAACTGCTATAAAATAATAATGTTAAGGAGCCGAAATATGTTACATATATATATCTTTTTTTACTTAGAAATCAAGATTTGAATATAGTTTACTGACTAGTACATTCAATGAATCATCTCCTTTCGGTGTACTAACAGGGGAATGGCAATGGAAGATCCCAGTGCACCACATGGCCTAAAGCTGGCAATTGAAGACTACCCTTTTGCCAATGATGGCCTTCTCATTTGGGACGCCCTAAAATCATGGGTCACAGATTATGTCAACCACTGCTACCCAAACCCTAGCCTCATACATTCAGATCACGAGCTCCAATCATGGTGGACTGAAATCCGAACCATTGGTCATGGAGACAAAAAAGACGAGCCATGGTGGCCAATTCTCAGAACCCCCAAAGATCTAATTGAGGTCATCACTACCATAGCCTGGGTTGCCTCAGCTCATCATGCATCAGTCAATTTTGCTCAATACGATTATGGAGGGTATTTTCCTAATAGACCCTCAATTGCTAGAATCAAAATGCCTACAGAAGATCCTACAAAAGAAGAATGGGAGAAATTTGTGAACAGACCTGAGGATACGCTTCTAGAGTGTTTTCCATCGCAGATTCAAGCGACTCTGGTTATGGCAGTTTTGAGGCTTTTATCAGATCATTCGCCTGATGAGCAGTACATTGGGGATTTCGTGGAGGATTCTTGGGGTGAAGATGAGAATGTGAAGGTTGCTTATGAGAAGTTCCATGGGAGGTTGAAGGAGATTGAAGGGATTATTGATTCAAGGAATAAGGATTCTGGTTTGAAGAATAGGAATGGAGTTGGAATGGTGCCTTATGAATTGATGAAACCTTTTTCCGGAGCTGGAGTCACTGGAAAGGGAATTCCCTATAGCATTTCGATTTGAATTCTGGGGTTTTAAGCTTATCACTGAGGAGATAGCTTCTTAAGTATTGCTTCTGATGAACATATCAAATTTTCTTTCTCATGATATTTGCTATATTTTAATATGAAAATTCTCCTTCATATATTTATACTCTTGTGTGACTTCCTATTGTTTAATATTAAAAAAATACTAAAATAAAAAAAACATGTTGTTGTAAATATTATGTTGTGTGAATGTTCATAGCTCTTTAGCCTCTTGGAATTCCTTCTCATGATTAATGGCATTATGCCTTGAAACTCCCAAATTGAAGGGTTTATGGTATTTATTTCCTATAACCTCCAATTATACAATTATGTTGCTTAATTCCTTTCTTTATATACTTATACTCTTTAGGTTAATCTTCAATATTAGGGTCCTATAAATAGAAGATGATGTATACACATTTGAGACAATGAAGTAATGAGAACTCCCCCTTAATTTCTCTTCCAATTTCCTCTTATTTTCTCCATCTCATCTCCCTCATCTCAATCTTTGTACTTTTCTCATTTTTCATAACACATCATAAGCACGAGTTTGCTCTGAAGATTTGAAGTATAAGCACTTTGTAAATTAATATATTATTATAGTATATGATAATACTTTCTACTAATTTCCCCATTACTCAATTTTTTTTTATCCTATTAACATATGCAATTTTAATTTTCTATACATTTGTTATATAGTATGTTATTCTTTTATGTCATTTATTAATTTATTCTTTCTATATATTTTAATTCTATTATCTCCTCATTGTAATATTGTGTTATTTATTTTATTTATTTTTCAATACTTCTTGTTTGTTTGTCTATATATATCTGTTTGGTTTATATTATGTCATTTTACACCTATCATAGTATTATATATAGTTATATAATGTGATTTATATTTGGGTTTATTTGTTATTTATATTTGATTATAAATTTAAATTTATTTAATTTATTTTATTATAGTATTTTTTAATTTCATTTTATTTTTTGAGCAAATTTCATTTTATTGAATGGTTAGAACCATAATACTCTTGATTTTGTGATTAGATGACCAGAAGTCATATCACATTTGTAATGGTTCTTTTGTAAGAGAACACTATGGGTATAAATGACATGACGAGAAAAGTCTATGATACTTTAATGATCTAATGGTGACAAATGTCAAATCCTTGAAAGCCAATGGTTCAAACACCAAATGAGACAAAGAGTTTTTATTTGAAAGACTTTTGCTATAGTCCTGAAGATTGATATTTAAAAAATTAATTATGTACTATTGAAAGCAAAGAATATGTCTATAAGAGTGATAAAGAACATGACGATATTATATTTGTGGAATTAATAATTTAAAGGCAATGATCTTTAGTCTTGACTATTAAACCATAATTGAGAAGATAGTGATACTTCTAATTATGAGAAATATTATAATATGATCAGAAGTCATATAGACAAATATATGTACTAATCCATTGAAAGTAAATGTCAAAATTGGTTATGAAACCAAAAGATCAAGAGATATTATAAAAAGTATTAAACGTAATTATGATGCTCAAGGCAATGTCTTGTAAAAAATATGCTCAATTAGTCAAAGTTGAAAAATATAACCATTAATCTAGAAGACTATATCTAAAAGGTTATATGATATTACAATTTCTTGTGATTCATTGGTAGAACATATTATTATAAGTATTTAATATTAAGATATTGATAAATATTCCAAGAGTGGTATGAAACAAAATATACTAAAAAGTAGTTATCAGTCACTTTGAAATGTTAATTTATAGTGCCAATTTATTTGCATATTTATATGATTGTGATATAATTTATTTTCATATCATATATATGCCATATGATATATATTTTATTTTGTGCTATTTTTGTGCAAATTAAAAAGATGATATATTTTTCATATTTTATTTATTTATATGCTATTTGTATGACCGTAGTTTAAATGATTTATTGTGGTTTATTGAGAATAAATTTTATTATAAGCATTTAAAGTTGTTTTGAGTTAATTAAATAAGAAATTAGTTGAGAAAAAAAGTTAAATATTCATACAATATGTAAGTAATTTTTCAAAAGATATATTTTGAGTATTACAAATTAATTAAATAATATATATTAATGTTAAGAAGTTTTGAGCATATGTTTAATTTTACACTTTATTCTCAAAAAGTTTATTCTAAAAAATCTTTTATATTTGTGTTCTTTTTAATTATACATGTTTGTTTATGAGAGTAAATTAAGCACGTGCAAATGATAATTATAGTTTTAAAAAATTTATAATTATTGGATTAATTCAAATAGTATTTAATTCTTTAAGTTTATACATTTTGAAATAGTATAAAAATATTAAAAAAATCATATATGTCACGTTTGAATTGAGAGAATAAGAAATTATTTAATTTTATGAGAAAATTCATTATAAATAGTTGAAGTTGATTTTGGTTA